CAACGCCTACCTCATGTTAAGTTATTTATTATTATTTATCATGTGTAAAGACACTTTCTCATAATTTAGCTTTACTCCTGTATTTTCTGTACGTCATGATTGCTTTGTTGTGATCCCCCAAATTATTTATGTCTGTAAGCTATTTAATGTTGAAGTGTAAAGCAATAATAATTTATTCGAGTTGTGCCGGTGGCGTTTACGTGAATTTTCCCATTTGGATAATTATATTTCCGAGACCACGTGAACGCACCAAAGTTGATTCCTTTGATAAATTCCACTTTTCCCATTTTGGAGTTTTTCAATGTGACCCAACATCAAACTGAGGAGCTTTGAACAGTCACACGTTTATGAAGTACATCCTGTGCTCAGCTCTGGTTCACTGATGCTCCAACATGAACTCCAGCACAATAAATCAATACATCACTTCCACCGTTCAGACGCCTTCACTTTCACTTTCACAGAAACGAAAGTTAGCCGGAGCAGCAGAAGATGGCAGGAAGCTGCAGCTCGGACATTTTCCTGTGCTCGATATGTTTGGATGGACTGAAGAACCCTGTGACTCTTCACTGCGGACACAGCTACTGTCAGGAGTGTGTGAACGCCTTCTGGGACCAGCGCGACCAGAATGGACTTTACACATGTCCCCAGTGTGTCCACCCCTTCACCCCAAGACCCGTCCTGAGCAAGAGCATAGTGCTGGCGGATGTGATGGGCAAAATGTGTGGGGGAGAAAGAGAAGAAGCCAAAGCTGCTGCTGCTGCAGCTGCTGCTGTGGAGGAGGAAGTTGTCTCCGGGGACGTGGAGTGTGATTTCTGCACCGTGAGGAGGCTGAAGGCCGTGAAGTCCTGCCTGGTGTGTCTGGCCTCGTACTGCTCCACTCACGTGCAGCCTCACTATCAGTCTGCAGCTTTCAAGAGGCACACGCTGGTGGAGGTGTCCGCCTCCATACAAGACCAGATCTGCCCCAAGCACGACAAGCTGCTGGAGGTCTACTGCCGCAGCGACGGCCACTGCGTCTGTCTGCTGTGTGTGATGGACCAGCACAAAGGTCATGACACCGTCTCTGCTGCAGCAGAGAGGGAAGACAGACAGGTCAGACAGAGAGAATATCAGTTTTACACTTTACACATGCATATCCTCACACTGCACTCATTTTCCTGTATTTATTAGTTTAATTATACATTCATATTTTTCTATATTTTTTGATATTTCTTCCACGTATTGCATGTTACTGATTCCTATTTCACTCTTGCTGCTTTAATACTGCACATTTCTCCATTGTGGGACTAATAAAGCATTATTTTAGCTATAAAAGCAACTTATTAGTGTTGTCTTCAAACCTTGTGTGCACAACTGATTTATCTTGTGTGCACACATGTTCTCACACCATAATAACTTTGTATCTTGTGCCTACAAGATACAAAAATATCATCTTTTGGGCCTTCAGGGGCTCCGCTGAACCAAAATGCACAGACTCAGTCCCCTTTTCATTAAGGTCCATGAATAATTCTCTGAAAAAATTGTAAAAATGCAAAAAAAACAACATATCTCACAATGTTTAATAGTGTTATGTTTTGTAGAATTTGATATCTTCTTTTTCGGCCCATAACATTCTTGGCGGGGGGTTATTCTATTCTATTCTAATTAAATGTAAAACTATGTTACCGATCAACAATGAACAAAGGTGTAAACAATATGTTTTTATTTTCAGAAACAGTTTGGAAAGAAAAAACAAAAGAACCAGCGCAGAATTCAAGATAAAGAGAAGCAGCTGCGGCAACTGAGACAGAAGATGGATTCTCTAAAGGTGGCTGTTCATGTTCTTTTATCCTGCAACCATTTCCTTTACAGGAACTGACATTATGCCCGATGTCTTTCCACTATATCAGTGCTCTGGAGATGCAGCGGTGAAAGAGGCCCAGAAGGTCTACACTGAAATTGTCCGGTTGGCGGATATGAGGCGGTGCGCTGTGGAGCAGGGGATCAGAGCTGAGGAGAAGGCTGCGATGAGCCGAGCCGGGGCGATGGTGGATCGGCTGGAGAGGGAGATCTGTGAGCTGAGGAAGGGAGAGGACGCACTGAAGCAGCTGTCGCTCACTGAGAATCATATTCATTTCCTGCAGGTACAGCGACACACAGCAGGTAGGATCCAATTACTCTGTGTTTAGGACTGTAGCTTATTATGTGTTTCTGTTTCCTGTAGAGCTCCCAGACCATTTTCGACTGTCCAGAACCTGATGAGTCTCCAGATTTCAACATCCACCTGCACACATCTTTTGACAGTATGACAAAAGCCATCTGTAATTTGAGAGATCAAATGGAAAACATTACACAGGCCATTGCAGAGATACCTGAGACAAGTAAGAAAATATCTCCATTAACATTATTTAAGTTTATTTATTGATAGCATATGAGATTGTTTAAATATTCTGTTTTCTAAGGATGCAGAGATTATGTTTGTGTGTTTTAGTTCAAGCTGATCCTAAAACAAGAGGGGAGTTCCTCCTGTGTGAGTTGTTCACTGTATCTTGACAAACGCACATTTGGATTAATCCTGTCACTTCACACTGAATAATCATTTCTAACATTCTGCATTTCAGATTCCTGCAGCCTCAGTTTGGATCCCAACACAGCATTTGAAAGCCTAGTGCTTTCTGAAGGAAACAGCAAGGTAACCTGGAATAAAAGGGCTCAGCATCGCCCACAGCATCCAGACAGATTCACCAGATATGATCAAGTGTTGTGCACTGACGGTTTATCTGGCGTGTGCTACTGGGAGGTTGATTGGAAGGGGCCCAGGGTTGAGGTCGCTATGTGCTACAAAGGGTCAGAGCTGCAAGAAAGTTGCTTTGGATACACAGACCAGTCCTGGTGTGTTTCCCTCTCAGCTTCTAGTTGCACCTTTTGGCACAATGAAGTCAAAACTAGGATATCTGTGCACTACTCCGTTACTGTAGGAGTGTATCTAAACCACCAGGCCGGGAGCCTGTCCTTCTACAGCGTCTCCGATTCTGGTCAAATGATGCTCCTTCACAGAGTTCAGACCACATTCTCCAAGCCTCTGTACCCTGGGTTCATGGTCTCCAGAGGGTCGTCTGTTAAAATACGCGCACTAAAGTAAAGGGTTGCTTCAGTGAACTATCTTTGAGAGTATTTTCGTTTTGCTTTGTGCAGTTTTTTTGGTGTGTAAGTATTGACTGTTGAATATTTCTCGTTTTCATTTCCATTCTCCATTTTTCAAGTTTCCTTACTGAATATGTGGTTTTAACTACAGTTCAGCATTACTCCTGAACTTTCTTTTAAGTGTAAGGAAAAGATTATAGAAACATAGACATGTTTATTTTCAAGTTCCTCTGTTAATGATACACATTTCTCATCAAGTATTACACTTTAATTGCAAAGATAAACCCAAATAAAACTAGTGGTCAAACGTTACATACGAACATGTTGAATAATGAAAATAAAAATGTGGAAAAGTTCAGAGTTGTTTATTATTTTATTCTTAAATATCATGGTACAAACATGACCTCATAAAGTAGAGGCATTGCACATTTAAAATAACAATCATATTTTTAAATAATTGAACAAATGTGTATTAAAGCAGATTTAAGTAATTTTAAAAAATCAAGTGATCCATTATGTGACAAAATAATCTCAACCCAAGCTCCACTAATAAACTTTTTGAGTGAACCCATAAATCACATTCGATTCCCAAACATCACCACTTGGTATCGTGAGGCTGAAGTTTCATACCTCTGTCCCAGGATTTCAGAAAGGTTCTTTTGATGAAGAAGATCATGAGATGCACTTGGAAACTGAAGAAGTTGCAGATTATTTTCATCCAAATGTCAACAATGAACTTTCATGCAATGTAGAGGCAGATAATGTATTATTAGTCTGTACTGGAGATCCAGATAGGGTCAGTTACACAAGGCTTAGAGAGTTGGCCAAGGACCAAGTTGGGAAATGGAGATTCGAATGAGAGATTGGTGTTTGCATGGAGCCGAACCGCCTGGGTCGCAATGACCCAGCGATATCGGCAAATGACGCATATGGAACTGGTTGTTTTCGCCAAAATTGGTACAATGGAATGTATTCCATTGTACCTATTTTCCACTGTTCCTAATGTACTGGCACACCGACCACAGTTGCTGGGAATAAGCAGGGAAGCAGGAGACCTCTGGATCCCCAAACACCATAACACGCACAGGCACAAGCACGCCAACATACACATTCAGTCATGGGCGGTAATCGAGGATATAAGGTCTGGGAAAGCGAGTGTTCGGGGTTTACTCGTTGTTTCGGGGTTGTTTGTATGCTGATGTCATGCAAATAAAAAAGTCCCGCCTGGCTGTAACTCTTCTCCACGGGTTCTGAGTCTTTCTTAACTTCCAGTGTTTTACTGAAGTCGAGTATTTCTCTTACAGCAACAGGACTGAAATATTTCAGAACCTGAAACTGGCTTTGAAAAGTGCACAAGTGACTGCAATAAAGGGTGTGTGTACTCTGTCTTCCACACTCACACAGCTCACTCAGTCCCATACAGTTTGAGTTCCCTCCGACTGATCTCAGTCTTCCAGTGAGTTCTCCCTGTGAGTTCGACTGCAGGATCCCGAGATCGCAATATGTGGACGTAGCTTCTGTAAAACATCCATTCACACTCCCTGGGATACGTATAACAACAGAAGGTACAGCTGCAGGTGCAGGGAGACCTTCGACCAGCGGTCTGTTCTGAAGAAGCACACACTTCTGGCTGGCCTGGAGAACATGAGGAAAACCAGTTGAATGAATGAAGCAGCTGATGATGATGATGTTGATCCTGGACAAATGCAACACAAATGTTTACATTCCATGTATTTAATTTACAGTTCAAGCTACAATATCCAATGTGATACATTTTGACTTGCAGCGCCAGCGCTGCTAAGAGTTGAGATCGTCATGAAGACGGTCATAATATAGAGTCAATAGAGTTGTTTGTGTAGGAGCGATCCATGGTGTCGTAGAAACTCAGGCAGGCCTTGTAACGCAGCAGCTTCTCGGACAGAGGGCTGATGGTCAGTGCTTTTCCCTGCACACTCAGGTCTATGTACCTGGGCAGGATAACAGGAAGATGCACAACGTTTTAAAGCAACACAGAGGATACAGAAAAATATTTTTGATAAATTATTATACCATAGTCTTATATTCAACTATGTACTAGCTGTTGAAGATGTTGAAGAGCACCTAAAATGGATTGTATTGGACCTGAAGCAGGGTAACTCAAAGAAATCCATGCATGACAGTATTTATTGTGCACAATTAATATAATACCTGTAATTTTCATTCCACCATATAGACAAGGTGGTTGGAAATTATACTGTACCTGTAGGATACTCTCCAAAAGACTAGTGTATTAATAGCCATCAGCAAGGCCAGAAGGAAGAAGTACCTCTCCAGATTCCCATCATGCAGTATGTTTGGGTAGAAGTTACCTGTCGTCAAATATAATCGTTACCATATCAGCATCAGTGACAGCTTCCTAATCAAATCACGGTGCCCCTGTCATTTGTTATTGGAAGGGAACATTCATTACACTTTTACCTCCAGAGAGAAAGTATGCCAGCTGGACAATAAACGCTCCAAGAAAACAGCCCCCTCCGTAGGACAGAGTGAGGAAGTGCAAGGAGATGCCTCTGATGTGGCTCGGGGTCAGTTGGAAAGATATGAGGGAACCTGCAAGGGCGGAAGCGACAGCAGAACCATCTTCACTTCAGATTTGTGGCAGCACCGCCCCTGCACCCTCCTATCATGTGTTAATCGTATAAATATGATAAGTTCACATAGGGACCATAAGGCTTCCAATCCCACATGAAATCTAGTCTTTCACTCACATGCAGGGGTGACCAGAGCCTCTGCCAGACCAAGCAGGATGTACTGGGGAGCCAGCTGGAAGCACGGCATGGACGACACCTGCAGGACCTTCCCGGACAGGGTCTGCTCCACCAGAGGATGAGCCTTCCTCTGCAGCTCAGTCAAACCTGCCACCAGGACTGACAGAGCGGCACATGCATGGCCCAGAGCTGGAAGGGGGAGGATGGACAGGGTGGGATGATAAGAGAGGGGGCTGTGGAATGGAGGGGGAGCGGGGTGGGGTTTGTGATTACAGGAAAAAAGATGGAGGATGAGACAGAGGTAGAAGAGCGAGATGATTAGGTGAAGACATAAAAAGTGTGAAGTAATGACAGAAGGAAAATCTAGAGATGACCATAGATGTCTGAAGGGGAAGCAAAAGAGAAAAACAACACAACAAGTGTAACACCACACAACCTCGAAGGCTCTCCCCAGCAGGGGGTATAGTTGAACCCTAATACACACAGATATCAATCAACTCACATGATATAGGTCCAAATGGACCATGGACCTTTAACCACAATCAAATCAGTTAATCTATGAGTCCAACTAAACGTTTTTACTGAATCTGATTAAATTCCCTCAAGCTGTTCTTGAATGATCATGTTCACAAGAATCAGACTGATTTGATAGACAACCCAAACACGTAATGCCTCCGACCTCTGGCACGAAGGCACAAAAAACTGACTGAATAAAAGAAAAAAGACAGTGAAAACAAAACAGTGGAGTAGTCAATATGCAGAGCTACTCACTGATGACTTTTGCAGGGGCCATAGGAACTTTTTCCAAGGAGAGATAACAAGTGGAGACGAACTCGATCAGCGGGGCTAAGAGCAGCAGAGGCAGGATGCTGATCACATTCATGGCTCCAATAGGCAACAGTAGGTCGTTCAGGTGAAGGTTGGAGTTCATCGTCTGTATGTAGTAACCTGAGGGAATCTGCAAGAAGCATATTCTTTAACATTATAGAAACGATCCCGATGATTAAAAAAGGAATCATTGCGTTGACCTGCCTGTGTGATGCAGGCTCTGTAGAGCAGCTGGAGGCCATAAAGAGGGAAGAGCTTTGCCAGGACTTTAACATTCTCCACATGTGTCTCACTGTAGCGACCACCATTGTTCTCCTTGGCCCGGTCCAACCAAGAGACCACATCTCCACTCAGGTGCCGATAGTGGAGGCAGCACATCTTGAGAGAGTTCAGGAAGACGCCCAGTGTGGTCAGCAAGGATCCACCTGGGATGGAAACATGGAGGAAAGGTGAGAGGTTGTACACGTCATAAGTGTATGTACTGTGAGGTAATGGTTGTCTTTTTTCTATGTACGTTACCTTTCTTGGGTTTGTATGTGAGTTTGTTGCGCATCATGTGTATGGCGATGAGAGCCAGCAGCACTGAGGTGAAGGGGATAAGGAAGCCCAGATTTTTGGCCACAGACTGCTGGATGTACGCAATACCCAGAAACACAACAGTGGAATTCAGGTTCACCAACCAGTAGAACCTAAACACAAGGAAATCAGTTCTAAATGAAAGTGCTTCATTTCTTTAAACATGAAGTTTTAAATGGTTACATAGCGAAAACTAGCTTTGTGATATATTTGATTTGTTGTATCCCTCAAGAATGTTGGCATTGTTTCATTGGATTCACAAGGAAGTATAAGTCTGTTCAAAGTGTTTAAACAACTGTTTGCATTATTCACTATACACTCAGATAGCAACACCCACCAGTTGAAGAAGGACAGGAGCTGGTGCTGGTTGTAGCCCTGCAGGCTGTAGGCACCCATGGGGCAGAGGATGGCCCGGATGCCACCGATGCCCAGAGCGGCAGCCAGGAGGCCGATGTAGAATAAGATCTGCTGCTCCCGGGGTTCCAGCTGGTGCGTCATGTGATGAGTGTCAATGTAGAAATCCTCAAAGGGAAATGCCACCACGGGCAGCATGGCTGTACCTAGAATTTTACAACGACATGTGAAGGCCGCCTCGTCAGCTCGATTTCAAACAGGATTTCACAGGAGCAGAGCCATGACTAAGCACCTTTACAAAATAACACAAAAAAATCATGACATGTCACATGATAGTGCTTATACATTGTTCATGTTGCTTATTCAGATAAGAATATTCAAGAGATTTGGCAGATTTTACCCATCTGATAGATTTCTGTGCATCAATAATACAGTACAATAAGAATGTACAAAGGTGGTGGTACAGTGGTTAGCAATGTCGTTTCAAAGAAAGATAGGTTTGAATCCCTCACACTGTCCAAAGACATGCAGATTTAGGTCAGGTTAATTAAAGACTCAAAAAAAATATCGACGTTAAAGGATAAGAAGTTGATAATGGATAATTAATGATGGATGGATGAACAGACGTATAAGAGGAACTATTGAAACTACATTTTTCCAGGCTTTGAAAAATATCTAGATATTGCATCATCAAGGAAAAGTGAGAAAAGACTCATCACAGCGGATCTTTGTATCGTCAAGCCAAACTCACATTATCACAGAAATATACTATCCAAGATAATAAATATTTCTTTAAAAAGAAGCTACAGTGAAACAGTTTCCAATTTCTCATGTCAGACAACATGTATCAAATTGAAATCCATTGTGTCTCACCGAAGAAATGAAGGACAGCACATACGTAGAGCACTTTGGTCCTTCCTAAGAAGGTTTCTGCAAACCACCCCACCAGAACAGGGGTCAGGGTGCTGGCTCCTATGAAGCACAGGTTGACTGTCGCAGCTGAGTAGTTGTCATAGCCAAGCTTCACAGTGCAGAAGAGAATCATGTTGCACACAATCCCAAAGAAAGCAAATCTTTCACACAGCTCCACAAGCAGCACGCAGATGATGACTTGGAGCTTCTTGCGGGACTTCTTCGGCCGCCCCTGGTCTGGAGGAGGCGTCCGGGAGACTCGTCGCAGTTGGCTCCTGCCCTCTGGCAGTCTCTGAAGGTCTCCTGCCACCATGACACCTGCCCTGTGAGCTGGCTGCCGGGCTGCTCGGTCGATTGGGAACTCTTGCCCCTTCGAGGATGGGACCAGCTGTGGATTGATCTGGAATCCGTCACTCTGGTGCGAATGTGGAGCTGGACCCGGGACATGTAGGATGAGACACGCCTACTTGCTTTCTGCACGTGCTGGTAAATGATTTTCCTCCTGTGTCATGATCTTTCTCAGAACTGTGGACGTCTTATGAGGATATGACAAAATTGGAGATCCCACCCTTCAGGAGTAAATGATGGATTCTATTTAAAGAGCTTCCCAGAAATATTTCTATAATTACCAGTGACACACAAAAATGATGTTTGTTGTTTTTATTCTCTCAATCGCTATGAATTAGTTGTACACTGTTGGCTCTGGATTTTAATTTTTTGTTGAAGAATGTAATAATAAATTAAATAAAAATTCTGCTAAACTCACAGTATCTGTTTGCAATGAATATAGTCAAAGAATAAAATGACAGCTCAAGAAAGCGTGATCTTGCCTAAGCTGTAGACTTAAGCGTTAAATAACATAAAACACAAAATAAGAAAATAATTTTAGCGCTGCAGGTTATTACATACGCTTACAAAATGTCACATATCTTTGTGAAAGCAGTCTATCAGTGTACAAGCTCATTTTGGCTCGCTTGCTGATAATTAGACTGATGATGTTAAGTGAGAGTCATCAGCAGGTTAAATGCAACTGGACAAAGATAGACAGAAAACAACTGCCTGTTGATACAGGAGGCGATTCATTGAATTCCCAAAGCACAGTCCAGGCCACGTCCGCCATGAAGTGACGTTACCTACAGCTGATTCAGCATTTTACAAGCCGCTTTGAATGGAGGGATCGACGGTTTTCTGCTCATGATTTGCGTGATAGTTTTTTGGAGGCCTCAATATTCTTTTCCGATGTTTAAAATGTGCATATTTGAATAGAAAGTCACATTTTTTATAAAGAAAATAAAGAGATTCAAGGGAGCGTTACTTTGTCTCTACCACCAAAATGATGGTTGCATCTCGAGGCAGGTTTTCACGTCATTTAGAGATTTAGAAAAATTAAAACATAAAATAAATAGATACATAGAATAAGCTGACAATGTAAAAGTATTTTTTAAAACTTTATATTAAGTGCAGGAAGCGGAAAACTATATAGATGGATAGATAGATAGATAGATAGATGGGCAGATAGATAGATAGATAGATAGATGGACAGATAGTGCAAAGAATTAAAATAACTAAATAAATATAAAACTGTACATTATATCAGCCAGTAAAAGTATTTTTGAGAGCTAAACAAGAAAACAATATGACATTACCATATTTGTACTCAGCCTACAGACATGTTCATGCATATATCTGCGTGTAGCTTGTATAGATTTACACACAGTTAAATGTCTTATGACTGAAAACATGGAGAGTGGCATTTGAGAAGAGGTCTCCATGGTTACGGAGTCGGAGTCCAGTTGAGCGTGGGGGCGTGGTGTATCATGGGAAGCGAAGTTGTTTACAAAGCACTCGGAGGAAAGAAAGAAGAAAGAGACGAGAACTACAGAGACGCTGTTCTTCACACACACACACACACACACACAGAGGCGAACTTCTTATCCGTCTGTGTTGTTTCACGCTCAGCCACGTGCACTGCGGAGTTAGCAGCACTTAGCACGAATTAACGACGGACGATGCGTTAGCTAGGTTATCTCACTAATGCTAATGTTAGCTCCTCTTTGCTAACCGCGGAAACAAGCCGTAAACACGCGCGTGCAACGTCAGCGGGTGAGTTGTGTGTTTGAATGTCGTCACACGCTGAGAGCTGCTTGTTTTTGTTCGATGGACAATAGTCACGCACAGCTTCGCGGAAACGAACGTTGTGTTTCAACTTGTGCTTCTCAGCAGTGATCGGCTAGTGATGTCTGGAGCTGGAGGGAAGATGCCGAAGTGTCCCTCCTCTGCTTCGATGGGCTTCAGCTCGACCCCTCTGAAGAGCAGCGGCCGGGGGGAGGATGTCCACGCACCCGGGGGCCTGGAAGACGGAGTCCTGTCCGACGACGAGGACACGTTCTCCCTGCTCTCCCCCATCTACCACGACAGCTTTGAGAGTGAGGAGGAAGAAGACCTGGAGCTCAATCCGGCTGAGGAGCCCTCAGCCCGGCAGAGCCTCAGGTCCGGACTCAGCGTCTCTCCAGTCAGGTACAGCTCCGTTTCTAAAGCTGTTCATACTCTGCGAACCGAAACTAACACCACCAGGATCAAGGCTGGTAACATTTCTGTGCATAATAGAATATGTATTATATAGTCTCTTGTATAATATTGATATTTTTTATATTTCCTTTGGTTTATATTTGTTGAACTTATCTAACTTTCATCCTTCCGCCCTTAAAGATTTAGTTGAAAGAGAACTATTGGCAGAAATTTAATGTAGAATAATCCTCATGATGTTTTCACTAGTTCGTTTCATCTAAATTGTATGAATTGTAGTTTTCTTTACCCCAGAAAAGGCCCTTTATATTTAAATACTTTATATTTACATTGAGGGGAACCTTTCCGCGGAGGCCGCCATGTTTTTTTACATTAGTCCAGACTGGACAAACTAAACACCTTTGGAGTTTTTATGACAACTGAAGCTGCCACAGTTTCTTTTTCATGTTTGGAAGGAGAGGGTGAGGTGAGGGGTGTTCAGCTGCAACACGCAACTTCACCACTAGATGTCACTAAATTCTACACACTGTGCAAATCACACAACAAATCGCAAAACACTCAAAGCATTTCCTTATGTGTCTATGAGTGTGTTGATCCATTCAGTGACAAGCCATGTCAATATTTAGGTACCTACCCTCACTAATGGAATTTAATGCCATTGTGTTTGGTGATTTGTTGTTGTGTTTTCTTATTTCAATATTTTTTCTTTTTTGTCATTGTTTTTTGTTCTTCAGGGGCCACCATACTTATCTTTGTTTGGTTTGATTATAGGTGTGAGCTTCCAAAAAGACCCTTTGAGCAGATGTTCAGTTCGGCCGTGCAGCCAGCAGCCTCACCTACTCTGAGTGCATGGGAGATGTGGCTGGTGAACAAAGCCAAAGAGGATAGACTCAAACTGGAAAAGAAAGCAGAGGAGGTAAGCCCCTGTTTCACATCATTTCTGTCACTGTAATGGAACAGCAGCGATTTCTTCTTTTTGTTTTAGTGTTTACCAACTTTATTCCTTCACACTATCTGAATGTTTGAGTAGAAATTTTTGTACACTATTAATTAGGAGGGCTTACTCAAAGAAAAAAAACAAGAAGAAGAAAGGAAGCGTCAACAGAAAAAGATTGTCATGGAAGAGAAGATCCAAGAATGGCTAACTATGAAAAGAGAACAGGTACAGAGCTGCTTCTTTAAACTCAACAGAATTGCAGTTTCTCTTAAAGCTGCTCAACAGTCATGCTACAGTTATCTACGTTTGCCGTTTCTTTAATCTGTTCTCTTCTTACAATTCCAGGAGAAACATGAGCAGCTTGTGAAACAGTGGAAAGAGGAGGAGGAGATGCAGAGGCGGTTGGAAAAACAGAGGGAGGTTGAACAGAAAGCTCAGCAAAAGTACAAAGACTGGCTGCAGAAGAAGAACCGAGAAAAAGTAGAAAAAGAAAAGAAGGAGAAAGTAATGCTGAAAACTTGTAGTCATTTTACTATTTATAAAAGAAAATCTGATGATGTGGGAAATGATTGGATGTTTTTGTTTTTTCACAGGAGGAAGCTGCCCTGAAGGAGGAGCAGGAAAAAGAACGCCACAAGAGGGCAGAGGAGAAGTTTAAGGAATGGGTGACGACGGCCAATGAAAAAAGCAGAACAGTTCCCAAATCACCTTGCTGCCCAACAAGTAAGGTCATTTCAGTCATCTGGGAATTATTAACTGTGATTAATAATTTTAAACATAGCTTAACCCTACAACTGATACAAATCTATGTATGGTTTTTCATGCAGTTTATCATCAGTAGCATCAATATATATATATATATTTTTAAATGTGATCGTAGCTTGTCAGGTTCTTTGCCCTTGTGGATATTTGTGAATTGGATTGAGTTATCGGTTTGATTACCTCCAGGTCCCTATGATAAATCCTACCCATCACCCAGCTTCTTTAATCCCGTCCCGTGGAAGCCGATTCACAACCCCCCTCCAGAGACGTCAGTGAATAAGACCTCTGGGAAGAAATCTCAGAAACAAAGAAACAACCAGCAAAGCACCAGGTCGACTTATAGACATAGAAATGCGGTGAGTGCTGCACAGATGCTGCCGGGAAGATGACACAGCAGAGCGATGCCTGTGACTATGACACTGCAGCTTTGTTAAGTTCTACCACAGCTCCTGAAGTGACACCATGGTGAGTCACAGCAGGATTTCTGTTCTCTAATAGGGCTGTGGTAATCAAGACATATTTGTCCTGTTTAAGTTTTCATTGTTGTGTTTGATGTATACACCGGAGCAATTTGTTGCATACATTTAATGTAATATTGTATTTATAATAATGAATATTCAGGTTTTAGTATGTCTACATGATTTAAACATGATATAACCCAAAAGATGTTCTGTTACTTTAATCCGCTTCCATATTCTAAGATGGCTACACCCACATCACTCTTTCTTTTTCTTGCACTGTGTAAATTAACTCAGCTTGTTATTGCAATAAATAGACTATAAACATCTCTCCCGGGCTCGTGTCCTCTTCTTCTTTTGTTCCGTCACTGGGTGGTCAGCAGAACCACATGTCACTGCATTTAATACGACACAAACTGCACCACACAAAGACGCTGGCTCTCGGTCACAGCCAAAGATAGATAAACCCGGCGTGGTCAAGAGCCCCTCACACTCACACATTGTTCTGTTGTGCCTTGCTCTTCAGTGGGCTGAGATGACGACAGAAACAAGTGTGGGGGTGGAGGGAGAGAGAAGCAGAGAGAGAGAGATTCAGATTAAAAGCAGCACGCTCGCTCTGTGTTTAAACATCTCACTCTGAAGCCGGAGGTAAAATGATCACCTTATTCCTCAATGACTGTCTTTAACTGCTTCCCTTGTATTTCTATTTTGTCTTTTGTGTGTTGGACGTTCCTCTGAGTCTCTGTCTGCTGCTGTGGAATGTGTTGACAGTTATCAGTAAGTAGGCTAATAATGAGGACGCTGATTATGTTGGACACTTTTTAAATGCACAAAGAAACATCGTGGGGTGCAAAGGACAACTTTCAGACAAAGACGTCAGGTGCGTTCTACCCAGAGTACTTAGACTGTGGGAGTGGTTTAAGATGTTTGCTCAGGAGAGTTTGCACATTGAGTCGTGTGAGCAGAACTGTCTGCATAAAGAGTTAAGCTTCTGTTCCAAGTACGCCTCCAGCATTTTGGCTCTCTGTTTGCCATCATTTGTTGAAAATGTATGATGTCTCAGCTTAACATAACACAAGCATAGCTCAATCTTCTGTCCATCTATCTGCCACTCTGTGCTTTCAATGAATGATTTCACAAGTCTTATTTCCACCTCTTCCAGGTATTGTGTCCCTTTTCGCAGCCTGAAAAGATAAAAAAACATATCCCAAGATGCAATGGTGCAGGTGGGCCGGCAGCTGGAGGTCACACTTACCAAGACAGGTAGGAGGCGTGGCTTAAACAGTCGCAGAATGAAAGTGAGAGGGTGAGAGGCAGAGAAGGCAGAGTGAGTGACAGTCTAAAGGGCAGAAATAGAGATTACACTTGTTAAGTCTTGAAGAATGTGGTGGATAGTGTAACATAGACATGGAAACAAATATGGGTTGAAGAGGCAAAGCTGCTAGCTGCTGATTTTACTCTGTTATAGGATTAGTAATTTACTGATTAGAACTGACTTCAACTATAGTTGGATTATTTATGATACAGCTTTTTTTTTATGTCTGATCTGGACACCTTTCACCTGAGAACGGACTGTTCTGCTCCAGCTGCTTCTTTTTCTAACAAGGATGTTACTGCTGTCTCTGTAAATAGTCTCATTTGTTATTGACACAACCTGGAAGAAACCCGTTCTGTTGCATACAGGCATAGAGGTCCTAGATCCAGAGTTTCAGCCTCAGTTTTGTTTATATTCCTCCCTTCAACCATGCAGTCTGCAGGACCGGAGATTGAGGACTCCTTTGACTTTCTTTTTAAAATCATCCTCATTGGGGACTCGGATGTGGGGAAGACGTGCGTGGTCCAGAGATTCAAATCTGGCATTTTCATCGAAAAGCAGCAAAACACCATTGGGGTCGACTTTACTGTTCGTACGTTGGACATAGATGGCAAGAAAATCAAGGTAGGTAGATGTGTGTGTCAGTACATACTGTATGTTGTTAAGCTGACTCCAGTTTGCATCAGACATATGGTGGTGCTGCATAATCAATTTTTACAGATTTAAGGTGTCTTTAAAATGTGCATTTTATATATATATTAACAAGAACATGCATGTGAGATGTATCTGTACTCACTTTAGTGTTTAAGTAAATAGTGCGTCTGCTTGTTTCAGTTAATCAGTGTTTTTCCTACGTCAGAAAGAGGAGTGGCTGCTCTTTTTAAATGACACCATCTCTGTGTTAACTTTCTGGGTGTGTTAACTTGTTAACTGTCTATCATGCTAATGTTGAGTTCTGTTGACACGAGCACTGTTGAAAAAAACGGAATAACTCCACATTTCATTTGATAAAATTACATAATATAATATATAATATAATATATAATATATATATTATATAATCACTCTACTTTGTTGTTATTAGACCCACATTTTGAAGCCACTTCAGTCACCCTGGATTTGTGTGTTTTTACAGATGCAGGTGTGGGACACAGCTGGACAGGAGCGTTTCCGCACCATAACCCAGAGCTACTACCGCAGCGCACATGGGGCGATGGTGGCCTACGACATTACCCGTCGCACCACGTTTGAATCTGTCCCCCACTGGATCAGGGAGGTGGAGCAGTACGGAGCTGCCAGCGTGGTCCTGATACTCATAGGTAAGAAGAAATAAAACAGGTCAGTCAGTAAACTTTAAGACGTAATTATAGGCTGTTGTTGTAGTTAAAAGAGGAAAGGATGGAAGGAGACAACACACAAGTGGTTCCCAGATTTTCTTTCCTCCTCAGCCCTGTCAGGTGAGCTCTTGTAAGCGTTCACTGACCGACCCATCATGCTCTATGTGCTCATTCACTACACAACACACAGTGATCTCCGAACTAGCAGTGCCTCGGCTGGGTCTCTTTTTGAAGTTTGCATTTGTATTAATTGTGGACGTTTAAAGCTGAACGTCTCATTCACCAACTCAGTACTTTTCACTAATGCACTCTGAGATCCAGCAGGGGGCAGTGTACAGGTTGTTGTTGCAGTAGTACCCCTGTAGATGTGGTTATATCAGCGGTTGCTCTCAACTTCACAGTGAAGCTACAGTTGAGTAGAAGTGTTTTCAATGAATCTACACGTCCATCAACAAAAACAAAGATCTTTCATAATCACTTCTTAGTTTGTAATTTTTCAAGTAAAAACGCTGAACACCGTTTGGTGCCGGTTTCTCAAATGTGAGAAATGAATACTTTCATTTGTATATGATAATAAACTGAACTTGGTGTTTTCTGGAAAACTGAATCAGCAGATTCATCAAAACGTTGTTGTTTTGATGAATCTGCATTCTCCAACTTGTAACCACAAGCATCTCTATCTACTGTTTTCAACATTTCCTGCTCTGCTCACCGCTGCAGGTAACAAGTCAGACCTCCTCGATCAGCGGCAGGTGTTGTTCGAGGATGCCTGCACTCTGGCAGAAAACAACAGTGTCCTTGCTGCTCTGGAAACCTCAGCCAAGGAGGCCCAGAATGTGGAGGCGGCGTTCAACCTTATGGCCCGGGAGCTGCTGTCACGCAACGGCATGACGATGGTAGACGAGGCCTCTCAAGACCAACCCCAGTTCATGCTAAGTAACAGCTCTCACCCCGTCCATGGTACTGTGTCTTCAGATAAAAAGTGTGGGTGCTGAGCGGACTGAAGGAATGTGTAGATTAAAAATAGTGGTGAGAGCCTGAAAACTAAATGTGTGTTTGAAACAAAAAGAGGAGGGAGGTTATTTACATTCTTTTTTAAAGAAACAACGTCTGTTGCATTGTGTGTGTGAGTCAGTGTAGGTTTTGTTATTATTATTTATATAGGTAAAAAAAATGCAGGTTTTAACTGGGAAATGTATTCGTAATTTTCTCCTGAGGATAACTGCTGCTGAATGTGATGACTTTACAAACCACACCTCTGCCAGAGGACTCTGTAAACACACTGTTGTCACTTGATGTGCAGCTTTTTGTGCCTTTTTAATTGTCCTTTCACACAGTATGGCTCTTACAGTACATGACCAGTGTTTACCGGTTTCAACCTGTAATTGAAGTCAAATACAAATCATACATTTTTATATCTGTCAGTTAAAAACGTGACAAACGGCACTATGACATTTTTACTAGTGCTGGTGATGTAATTAAATATTTTCTCCTCGAAAAGTACAGAAATTCACATTAATCATTCATTAAATGTTCACAACTAAAACTACTTGACAGAAAAATAGCACCTTTTTCCATTGCTGTGAACACTGTGGTAATTGCAGATCCTCTATAAAATAAAACATTATTTTGTTTTCAGAATTACCATACTCCTGATTAAGGCTAAAAAATCGAATCTGGTGAGGTACTAAACTGAAAACTAGCGCCTTAATCTCTTTAGCATTAGTGGTTACATGTTCATCTAGTTTAAAAACAAATCCAGCTGAAATGTGAGAGCAGTGCAAACAGGAAGCAGAACGGCTCTACACAAGAGACCTGCTGGACGCTGTGTATGACCTGGCTTGGCAGACTCTTGAGAAAATAACAAAATCCATCTTTATCTGCGACACTGTCAACAGATCTTTCTGGATCAGTCTGAAGTTAAAGACTTCTCAGTTCTCCTCATTGAACAAACGGATATAAAATGAATGTAACTCTGCGCCCTAAACTGTAAAAGACAGCTGATATTATTGTGTACAAAGGCAAGACAGGGGCAAACTTCAGACTATACAGTGTACGCACAGTAGTTTGGGCGATTAGAAACAGTGATCTGTGAATTGTTTGTGAAAAATATATTAATAAAAAAAAACAGCAGCGTCTGTGACACATATGACGGATTAAAACGTCTGTAGCCTTCCTTCATATATTTGGTGTTACTACTTGTTTTTGCAGCTGATTCTGTGGCACTTGGAAATCTTTAAGAATTAGCCATAGTAACAGCTACATCTACCCTGTGGATAAGCTTATATTAAAACAGAATACACACCCTTGAGTTCTGCTACTATTGGCTAGGAGGTGTTAAGAGTCCTACTCCAGGGGCCAGCCCTCCTGCTGGAACACCAGCTCCACCGCCTCCTTTACATCCTGCACCACGAAGGACGGCTGCGTGAGGCTGGGGTCGAAGCGGAAGTCCCGGTGGCCATGGAAGATGTGTTGCTCTGTGACGGTCTGCGTTGTGTCCGAAGGCAGCTCCTGCTGGTCTCTGCTGTACACTCCAGTGCACACCAGGATGGAGCTGCACTTGTCTGGAAGATCTTGCTCCGCCCCGTATACACTGGACGCTCCGCCAAGCTCGGCTGATGTCATCTCGGGGCCATCGTCCGCAGTTTCTGCCAGGGGCTCGAGACCACCTCCCCCACTCTTAGCCTGCTTCTGGGCCTTGGAAGACCGAGAAGCCTGGAGGTAGCTGTTGTAGAGGTTGGCCCCATATATATCTGCCATGGGATTGTCACTAATAACGGAGACAAGTGTGACAACACATTAAAAAGATTTTCTTGACATGATAAAAAGTCAGGAGATAACAATCGCTCACCCTATAGCATACAGCCTCTTCACAGGTGTGGTCCAGCCGAGTCGCTCCGCCTGCTGTCTGACCAGCAGCTCGGCGTAGTTGTACGTGACAACGCTGGGTTTACCGATCAGAGCCTCGTACTTCAGATCATAGCCCGTGATCTTCTTGTACAGGCTTTCCAAACACACCAGAAACATACCGTGACCAAACCTGTAACACACGGATAATAACACATTTACTATAATTACTCTGGGTCCTCCAGATCCTCTAATAGTGTCTTGTGGGTTTGATGTAAATACTGTGTGTATTTTTTAAAGGCACAAGCACATTACCTAGGATCCTTGGCCTCAGCCATCCACAGCAGGTCCATGTTACAGGCCAGGACCGGGATGTGAGGGTACTGTATGGAACTCAAGGTGTTGTCTGGGTTCCCGTTTGTCAGGAGCACATCAACAATAAGCTGGAGGTTTGTCTCCCATCTGATTGGTTCGCCAAATAAAATCACAGCTGTTCAAACACACAGGAGAGGAGGGTTTTAATAAATGTTCAGCGTTACACTAGAGAGCTACTGCGATCACCGTCAGGGGAAACGTACCGTCTATCGGCCGTAAGCCTTTGCTGGGTGGGACCTGTAAGACATAAGCAACTGGTGAGATACTCGTCCATGACTGAAAAATAACTGGCTTTAGCGGTAAAGCTTACACTGCCTTTGGGCCTTCGGTTGTGATCGACGACATCTAGAAGAGGATATGCGTCTCTGAGCATATCGATGGTCACGACATCCTGAAAGCCCAGACTGAAGTTTGGGGAGTTAAAGTCAAACACAAACACATGGAGGTCTTACACCCAAGGATGTTGATAACCTTGATATTATCGTCATTGGTCCTTGGATAATTTGTTCTATAATTTCTAACTATAATTTACTTTAAAGCAATACAATGTCGCTTTTACTGAGCAACAGCGCCCTCTGCAGCCACAGGGAGTGATTCATTCTGTTGTGCGTCGTGTCTGAGCAATTAAGTCAACTTAAATTGAACTGAATTACATTTCAGCTTACTCTTGAACTCACTGGAGTCTGATTCTGGCAGTTTAAGTTCCACACTTCTCACAGGAGAACGTACTCACTCACCAAAGTCACACAGAGCAATGATCAGATGTTTAGGGTGAGGAGAGGAAATGAAAGAGGAAACATTCCAAACATCAAAATAATGTTTAAGCTGCTCTTTTAAGGTTGAATAAACTTGTGTCTGGTGCATGTTTATGTATGTGCCTCAGTTTAGATGAACACAGGCTGGTTTGTTCCCATCAAACGGGGATCAAGCACTGATTTACTCTCGAACTTGATTAGATTAAAACATGCCCACTATGAATCAACTAATAAATGACAGGGCTTTCCAAATGAGAAGAAGATACAAACCCTTGTCAATTCTCCATTAATAATACAATGAGTAAAGTTAAAGATATCAGTAAAGGGGACAAAGGGCACAAAGAATAAACACTGATAACAAAGTACGACATAACTGCACTGAATCAACAGAACATAAAGTCAACATCCAAAGACAGGATACTTGTGAGCGACCTCCTCCACTGGACCCTGCCCAGACACCAGCACACACATTTTGTGGAACTGGGTGAATATTCGCAAAGGACTGTGGGACAGCATCACCTGGTCTGGAGACACCTGAGATGAACAGAGGAAAAAAAAAGAGTGAAAAACACGAGACAAATAAAACTGAGGACACTTTCAAATGAATCAATCTGTGTTTTACCTCAACCTCCAGCAGATCCGACAGATGTTCTGCTTTCGTCTGCCTCATGCAGTTCCCAGCATTGGTGACAAACACCACGGGCACCTTGTATTTCCCGTCGCGGTCCACCAGGTTCTTGAAGCACTGCTTGGCGGCAGGGATGGGCGTCCTGCCCCGCACCAGCACCCCATCGATGTCGAAGAGCAGCCCGAAGGAGCCGGGGCCCTGAGGATGGAGCTGGAGGGCAGACGAAAAAACGTATTGATCATGGCATCGTGATTGCATTCGCTCTGGAGCTGATTAATCACTGATGAGTGAAGAGGGGGAATGAGACACAGTAATAACTGTTGTAACTGTGTGATGTAATCAACTCAGTGTGTGTCTTTGTGAAGACCGTTTTAAGCCTAGAACATACGGAGTGAGGGCATTTTAGGAAAGTGGGGACATTTTGTCCTCGTCCTCACTTTCTGATTCACTTTCAATGGGCTGTTTAAAGCTTAAGACTTGGTTATGATAAGAATGGGCTCAGGGTGGTGGTTGAGGTAAGAGCAAAGGGCTAAACAATGCCAAAGAGTGTCCTCAGGAGTACAAGGTTGGGGGGGGGGGGGCTCCTCTCCTGCTCCTCCAGGTCTTGTCTCTTGTGTTATTACGCACAGCAGCCATTAGTCTGGAGTTAAAGGACTGAAAGATCGAGTCTTCTTCGTGTCTGTAAAGTGTGAGTGAAGCCTCCACTTACATGGCTGTAGAGTCTCGAGGCGGAGGACGAGCTGCTGAACTTCAGCAGCTTCCAGACTGTCCTCCCAGAGAAGAGTCTCTGCATGTCTCCAGGCACCGGTGAGTAAAAACAACGAGAAACGAGGCTCAGCCAAGCTAAAGCTAAAGCTAACGGTGACCGTCAGTGAATGTGTCTCATGATCCTTCAGACAGAGACAGTGATGAACTCTTGTCCTCCTCCTTCTTCTTCTTCTTCTTCTTCTTCTACTTCTACTTCTTCTTCTTCTTCACGGTGTCAGTGGATCTGTCTCCATTCACAACAACAGCTTTTCTTCAATGGAGGCGCATGCGCAGAGGAGTGGGGGCCGGGAAACTTCCTGGTATATTACGTCACGAATTGTCCCACCATATAAACATGATCAAAAAACACGATATATTA